TGGCAGAAAGAGGCCTTAACCCGAACCTAACTGGGTAGTTAGGATTCTGTTTGTGTAAGGGAATCCACAGATGGTGTGAAGTCAGCATACCCAGCTCTAGTCCTCCTTTCCCATCCCCCCACCAAGCCCCAACCCCTACTGCCATCTACATTATGGGGCTTGAAGGATATGGGGGACTGAGGGGCACGAGTAGAGTGCACCGTGCTCCAATCATAGCTGGTGAAATAATCCCACGGGGGCTGTTACTGCTACATAAGAACATAAGAACGGCTGTACTGGGTCAGAGCAAAGGTCCATCTAGCCCCGTAGCCTGTCTGCCGACAGTGGCCAGCACCAGGTGCCCCAGAGAGGGTGGACTGAAGACAATGATCAAGCGATTTGTCTCCTGCCATTCTTCTCCAGCCTCTGACAAACAGAGGCCAGGGACACCATTTCTATCCCCTGGCTAATAGCCTTTTATGGACCTAACCTCCATGAAATTATCTAGCTTCTCTTTAAACTCTGCTATAGTCGAATAACTTACAGACTGCTGCCTCTTACACAGTTGGCCAAGAAGAATGCTAGCTGCTCCAGGAATTGGAGGGCGGGGTGGAGTCACACATGTATGTAAAAGGAGAATTATCTCATTGATTTTGCTTTTAATTAATTCTGCCTCCTATTTAGCTAAAAGGATTTCAATGATTCTAGTTTCCTTTGTATAAACTATATTTTGTATATAGCATGAGTTACTGAAATTTACTTGGATTTAAGTCTGCTCTTCCTTGCCTGTGCATCAAGTTACCGAGGGATTGCTTGATTATGAAACCTTTTTCGTGAATTTTACTTCTACTGCTAATAAAGCGGCATAAAAAGGCAGCAACAGAAATTCATCGCCATCCTGGACTAGAACACATAAAAGCTATGTCTCATTTGAGACATAAAAAATGAAAATCATAAAATGCTGAACAGCATAAATTAGGCAACTAAACATATTTGTACTAGCAAAACTTTATTCATATACTCCTTGAAAATATAGCTTCAAATATTTGTTTTATTAATTTATAGCATAGCTAGGGTTAGCAGCCTATTTTGTGAGGAAAGAGCCTACTCCTCATATGAATTGTCCCATAGAAGACATTAGAACTGTAGAAAGAAAGAGAATAAATCATTAAAATGAACAGCCAAACTCTGAAGTATAACAAAGCAAAGAAAATGTGGCCAAAGAAATGGGCCTTGGCTCAGGGTTCCTCACAAAAGCCGAGCAACAGAGAGATCTCAGGAGGCATGAAATTGGAAGATGAAAAGAACTTGTGATGTGGGAGGGTGACAAGATTACTCTTCCTTTAGACCTCCTATAGAGATTGTATTTTTAATTTGTTTTCCGAACTCCTTGTCTAAAAAGGATAAGTACAAGAGCTGTCATGCTAAGTCTGTAAAAGGGAATATTGAGGAGAAATATGGTGATTATATAGAAAGTGCTTACACGAGGAAGGAAAAGTTGAGGGTACGCCTGCATTCAGACAGTATTGACCCAGAATGTGCTAAGGGGAGATGGTGACAGAAGGGAAAGGCAAGAGTTACTTAGTTTATAGAACTTGTGGTATACTCTGAGGTGTTTAATCTATGTGGATCTCACTCCTGCTGTGCGTACACATCTGGCACAGAAATATTTTGAGGAGGAGCCTATATTGGGGCCATGCCATTGGCATGCAGGCTCTCATGCCCCTCACCGGAGATTATATAGGGCACAGCAGCATTGATTGCCTTTCAGTTCCTTCACTAATTCATAATTCCAGCAGAGTTGGAGGAGTGGGGAATGAAAGTGGGTTATGGAATTCATAGGGACAAAACATCTGGAAAAAACAGTTATTATATGATAATTTTGTCCATGTGGGTCTCACTTGTGGTGACTAGCTAGCAATTCCTCAATTAATAGGATGAGGGTCTGAGCAGGCCTAGCTACAGCTTGCTAAATAAGGATTGCAGAATTTCTCTCCTGACTTTTGCATCTGATCTAGTGGCCAAATCCAGGATTCTGTAGTTGGTAAAATTATGGGCTGAGCTCCAGGTGACTGCCCTGAAGATTCCTGATATAGGAATATTGATTAGGCATGCAGAAGAGGTTGTCTGGCCTTTAAGTGAGAGGGCTGTTATGCCTGAAAGAAGAGGCTTATTGGATAATTGGTAATATATTGTAATATACTGAGTGATCTGTTTGATTAATATCTGGGAAGAGATCAACCTAACCTTCCACAGCCTTTCCCCCAAACAAAGAGTGTGCTTTGTCCAGTATAAATAGTAAAAGGGCTCTCCGGGTCTCAGGAAGCGCACGGGCTGCTCTTCCCCTCCCATAAGCAGCTGGTGCGCTTCCTGAAATTCACGGTCTGTTGCTCCGCCAGGGACTTCTTTCCCTTCTGCTGCCTGCCTGCTTAGGGTGTGGGGGTGGGGGTCTCAGGACTGAATGCCAACTCCAACTTCTTAGGAAGCACGCGCTCTTCCTCTGCTCCCCATGATAGCAGTGTGCTTCCTGAGAAGTTGGAGCTGGCATGCAGTCCCAAGATTCCTATTCCTTCCCTGCTCCCCTCTGCTCAGGCAGGCAGCAGGGAGAAAAGTCCCCGGTGGTGTGACAGACCTGGCATTTCAGGAAGCATGCCAGCTGTTGAGGGAAGGGGAAGAGCAGCCTGCTCTAACCCAGTCCCCCTTTCCTTCCCCAAAGCCAGGCACACCCTGACCCTGACCCAGTCCCCCCTCTCTTCTCCTTCCCTAAAGCCAGGCACGCACCCCCACCCAATCTCTCTCTCCTCCCCTTCCCCAAAGCCAGGTACACCCCCCCCAACCCAGTTCCCCTCCCCCGCTCTAACCTAATTCTTGGGTCCTGGAGCTATAGCCGTGCGTCTTCCTCCAAGCGCTGGGGCACGTGCGCTGAGTGGCTGGCTTTGAGCATGAGTTGGCCGGGATGCCGTGCACAGCCCAATCCTCCTTCCCTTCCCTTCCCCAGAGCCAGACACCTCCCCTCACTGCTGTAACCCAATCCCCCCCCACACCTTATGCTCGGGTCCCGGAGCCAGAGCTGCTGCGTTGCATCTGGGACGCCATGTGCACTGCCCCCCTCCTCCGATCCCCTCCTGGCATCTCCCCTCCTCCCCACCTTGTGCCCTGGTCCCAGAGGGCTGCCTGCACTCAGCAGCTGGCTGCTAACACATGCAGCCTGGGAAGTTATGAATGAAAAAAATAATTAATAGAATGTTAAAAGTGCACAACTATGCACTCAGCATGAGCCAAACGTGTCATTGATTGTATATCCTTAAATCTGTCCCATTGTGCATTTACCTTATCATCATTATTATTATTATTATTATTATTATTATTTTATTTATTTATTTATTTATTTATTGGGCAGCTCGCGAGCCTTGGGTTGGCCACCCCTGGTCTATATACATCAGGCTGTAGAAAGTGTGAAAGAGCTGATGTAAATAGAGCCACCATGACAAACCTTTCACCTGTATCTGCTGGAATAAAATTGTCCAATTTTGAGGGGAGCAAAATATCTCTTTCTTTTTTTAAAGAGTTTATAGGAAGAAGTGGTAACCAGTTTTTAAGAGGAGAAATTTGCTGACATGCAGGAGTATTAGATTATAGGCCATTTGTAGACTTGTACTTTAATTGTTGGGAAGGCTCTGAGAGACTGCTGCGGTTGATGATGTTATAAAAGTCTGGATGGGTGTATCACTTGGGCATGAGAGAGAAAAGGAGGAAACAAATGTTGTTAGTTTGTATCTTTTCTCTTTTGTTGATCAGCCACTTTTGACGTCGTCTTTCCTTTCATTATTATTTATTATTTATTCACTGAAAGCCCGAAGGGAGCTTGGCATCAACCAGATACAAAAAATTAGACACAGTCCTTGTCCTGGAGAGCTTTCAGTCTAATTAACACAATTGCAGACAAGGTGGTGGGTGAGGGAAAGCAATATAATGGTGGATTTATTATTATTATTATTATTATTATTATTATTATTATTATTGTTTGATCTTTATTTCATTCCTACTCTTGACACTTTATCCAATACGCTCGCTTTCTCTTCCTTGATTATTTAGTGAGCCTAGACAAGTGTCCATTGCTAAGTCATTTAACCCTAACATTTATTCTAATGTATGTTTTTATTTTATGCCTTACTGTTACTTACTTCTATTTTTAATATTTTATTTGTTTTATTTTTAACCTTTGCCTTTGTTCCTATTTTTTATTCCTCTTGCATCCATTTCTTTTCAGTATTTGATTTATTTTTAACCTTTATTGTTTTAACCCTTTTATTTCTAGATAAGCCTATCATATTTTGTTTTAAATGATTTTTATGGCTTACTCATTTGCCATTTTTTAAAATTTATACTTGATCTTTTCATATTCACCTTTTTGAAAATGTTAGCCTTTTAAACCTTTTAAAAATAGTTTTTAGCCCCTGCTACATTTTTAATATTTCAGTGTATTTCAGCCCTTGAACACTTTTTTCAAGTTGCAAGATGCCTATTCATCTCTCTCCCTCCTAATGCAAATGAGTGATGGTTCCTCATGTCATCTTTTTTGGTCTTGTCACATGAGTTTGCTCGTCACATGGGTTTCATTCTTGCATGGTGAACCCTTTCTGGGAGATGCTGGGTCCTAATTCCTTAAAGGGAGAAATGGGAACCAGGAATGGGTCTTCAAAAAGGAAACCATTCAGGAATAATAATAATAATCGGAGCTTGTAAAAGATTTTGAAATTTCATCCAAGCTCTCTCTCTCAAAATCTTGGATAGAAAACTTTCCCTGTTTTTTCAACCAGCTGTAGTAAGAAACAAAGATTACCAATCACATCTGATTAAGATGGCATTGTAGGTTTAAAAAAAAAAAAAAAAAGATTGCCCATCCAAACCCAGAGATTTGTAGATCTGCTTGAAGTACTAACATTTTGTTTTAGAGAAAAAGATAATCTTTTTTTGTTTGGCTTAATATTGTACTTAATGTTACTCTCCTTTTTTATTAGGGTATTCTGATAACTTGGACAAAACGCTTCAAAGCAAGTGGCGTTGAAGGAGCAGATGTAGTAAAGCTACTAAACAAGGCAATCAAGAAACGTGGGGTAAATTTGTTTAGTTTTACTTACATAAAAACATACGTACACACACTCACAACGAGAGAGAGAGAGAGAAATACTCTGATATTTTCAGGAGCTCATCATGTGATGTGCAGTAGGGAAACGGAATGATTTTATAGTTACTATGTGAAAATATACAACAACTTAATTACACATCTCATCATAAAAAATTTTGCTTCATGGGACAAATGAAAGTTACTGGGTCTCTCAATAATTAACTTGAAAGCTTGAGCAATTTTATCACTCTCCTTAAATATGAAATTATATGTATCACCTTACTAGTTCTCTAGTGTTGTCACCTGTAACTCAGTAAATTCACTTCCTGTGTAACTACTTACATGTCAGATGACTAGTTCAATCGGGTGATCCTATTGATGTCATAAAGTATGGCTTGGTCTGAAAATGGAATGCTTTGTTGAAACTAGACACTTTGTTATATTCCAGAAGCAAGAAAATCATTGGTAAGTTGATTTTGTCTTCACCAAGACAGGCCATTATGTAATCAATTACTTTTTCAGACTTTGGAGAAGACAAACTAACACATCAGATAAACTCATAAATGGAAATGCATGTATTTATGTAATTTTGGTAAATCCTTTGATTTTTATTATTTACTGATTATGTGCATATGTTCAAATCTTTACTCAAAGTTTGCAGTTAATATTAATTAAAGAAATCTTGACATCATTGGGTAGGACCCTTGGAGACTCTCAGGCTCTTCAAGAAAAACTTACCAGAACATTTTGTTGTAAGACCACTTGCTCTCTGCATTATATAGCTATGGGTTTTTTTTCTCTTTTCAGTTACTAGAAATTTTATATAAAGACAGAATATTTGTTCTTTAGAAGTTACACTGTTTCTGTTACTTATCCTTCACCTTGAACATTAATCTGCTTTTAGTGCTCTTGCAATTCTCTCCACATACATTTATTACCAACACAAGATTTATGACTTCAGGTGGAGAATAGGCTGGAAGAGTAGGTGATTTCTTAAGAACAGAATTCCACTTTACAAACAAATGCTGGTTCTGTAGTAATAGAGAAATTGATTGGTATAAGCAGAGCTGTCTTTAAATACAATGTTTTTCAAGGTTTTATAGGTCAGTGACATTTTACATTGATATTAATTTTTTTTTATGAAAGTATATAAGTGAAATTATTTTTTCTCCTTCAGGACTATGATGCAGACATCATGGCTGTTGTAAATGACACAGTAGGAACAATGATGACCTGTGGGTTTGATGACCAGCGTTGTGAAGTTGGCTTGATTATAGGTGACATTCATTCCTCAGCTACAGTGAACATATTACATTTTGTTTTTGTTGACTTGTTTTGTTAACATCTGCTGGTATCTTTTCCAAAAGGCACTGGCACAAATGCTTGCTACATGGAAGAAATGAGGCACATTGATCTGGTGGAAGGTGATGAGGGGAGGATGTGCATTAACACTGAGTGGGGAGCCTTTGGAGATGATGGGTCACTAGAAGACATCAGAACTGAGTTTGACAGGGAGATTGACCGAGGATCTCTTAATCCTGGAAAACAACTGTGAGTGAGACTTTAATTGACTTATTTAGTGGCACAACATGATTTGAGACTGATTTCTAAACTTATAATAGAACAAGCTCAGAATTAGGCAGTTTAGTGAGGCAAGGAAGCTGGCCAGTGAAGTCTATCTCATTTAGAAATATTCCATCCTATGATCTTTTAAACAATAGGCCAGGGGAAGCTTGGTAATCTTACTACTGGAGGGGGAAAATGATTTAGAAAGAAATATAAAAACCCCTCCTGGACTCCTGTCTATGGCTCAAGTGAATTTATCCAAAATATTTTTATTCTAAAGTCTTTCTCTGACATTTAAAGCCTTCAATAAGATCATCCTTTTCCAGTCGAAGTTTCCAAACATACTTCCCTTTTCCCTCTTCCTTCACTGTGAACTTTCCACAAGCCTCAGCTCCTTTCTTCTCTTAATACTATACTGGGCCCAAATTCCCACTTGACCACACCTTAACCTGGTAAAGTTTAAAAAACTTAAACTAATAGTTTTGCAACACCTTAGAGACTAACAAAAAATGTGGATGGTATCATGAGCTTTCGTGGGCACAACACACTTCTTCATATGAATGCAATAAGGGCTCCAGGGTAGAAATAAATAGCAGAGAAAGAGAGAGGCTATTTATTTGTACCCTGGACCTCTTACTCCATTCATCAGAAGAAGTGTGTCATGCCCACAAAAGCTCATGATACCATCTACATTTTTGTTGGTCTCTACGGTGCTGGTAAATTATTTATTGTTTAAGTTTTTTTCAGTCACAGACTAACACAGTCTGAGACTGGTAAAGTTTAGTTTACAGACCCAAAAACTCAGGCACTAATTTGGCTTCCAATGAGTTTAAATATCTTGTACTATAGGATCTCAGTGAAACCACTGAGTGTTTCTTCCCTATCCCCATACAGCACCCTTCTCATTGGTATATGCCTTTCCAGTGGTTCCAACCTTTATAGACTACTGTACTCCTGTCAGGAGTATGATTTGTCATGTGTACCCCTAAATTTAATCTAATCTAAAAATTATTTGTTTATAATATCAGACATAAAAACACAGACCTGTCACAGCACTTAGGAATATTGCTTACTCATTTTTACCATATAGTTATAAAATAAGTGACTTGAAATGGAAATATTGTACTTACCTTTCAGTGTACAGTGTACAGAACAGTACAAACAAGTCAATCTTTATATAAAATGTTAGTATGTACTGACCTTGCTAGTGCTGTTTATGTAATCTGATGTGAAACTGGACAGATATGTAAATGAATTGATGTACCCCTTGGAAAACATCAATGTACCCCAAGGGTATGCATGTCCTTGATTGACAAGAACCGGTTTATCTTATATAACCATTTTCCCTTTCAAATTTCCTGTGCCCTCAGCAGCCTTTAGGACATTTGTCCTATGTAAATCACCTGGCTATATCAGGCTGCGAGAATTTCAGTGAGTCTGAAATTTGCCATTTGATCCGGCTCGCGGCCAGCGTTGGTGGGGCATAGACACGAAACCTTGCGCACTTCCAGGCCCCCATTGGCTTGGCTGGAGTAGCATAAGAAGTCTCTCCCCAACCCTCACCACCAGGGGCACGTGGTGTGTAGGTGGAGCAGCAAGCTGTTCAGAATGGCTGGCTGTTCTCTCTATGTGCCACTTGCCTGGGGGGCGGGAGGGAAAGAAGGAGATATTGCAAGCTCCCTTGCCCCCAGACCAGTCATCGCAGCTGGGGGTAGGGGAACGTGTAAACTTTCTCACCCCCCGCCAGCTGCTGGCTTCATCTATGCGCCTCATGCCCCTGGAGCAGAGTGAGAGACTTTGTGCTCTCCCCCGCCCCCAGCTGCGATGATTGGCCTGGGGGTAGGGGACTGCGCAAAATCTCTTCCTCCTCTTCCCCCCCCCCCACTAGGGGTGCACGGCACATAGAGGGAGTTACCAACTGTTCAAAACAGCTGGTGATTCCCTCTAGGTGCCGTGTGTGTGTGTGTGTGTGTGTGTGTGTGTGTGTGTGTGTGATTTTGCATGCTTCCCTGCCCCCAGGATTTGATTGGATGTGTGGTCCTGAGTAGCACATGAAGGGAACCCATGTGGCTGGGGCTGCTGCAGGGGCTCAGCCTCCGGCACCTCATCCCCTCCCACTTCTTAACACCCTTCCCCACGTCATCACCCCTCTATACCCTAGAATACCACCCAAATCTTCCGCACACCGGCCCAGATCACAATTCCCTTCCAGACTCTGCACCTGCTGCTACACCCCTCCCCCAGGTCAAAATTCACTCCTGCATCCCTACTTCCTCCTGGCCCCAGTACTCTAATCTCCTGCCCAACGTCCCAGCTCCCTACTTTACCTCAACTCCCTCTCAGACCCACACTTTCTCCTGCACCCCAGTCCTCTACCCCAAGCTCCCTTCTGCACCCAACCTCTGTTCCAAACCCTGCACTCCCTCCACAGAAAAGTGCATCCCTTGACCACTTTCCAAAATCTTGGAGCTAAAATGATTGCCTACCTTTCATCTAAGGATATGTCTACACTACGGCATTAGGTCGAATTTATTGAGGTTGACATTTAGCATCCGATTTTATTAAGTCAAAGGTGCATGTCCTTACTAAGCACATATGGTCAATGGAGTGCATCCTTACCACCATGGCTACCATCAACTCTACCGTTGTTCATTGTGGGTAGCCATCCCATAGTTCCTGACATCCATTTGAATTCTGGGGTCAGGCTCTCAATCCCTGATGCTATAAAAACATTGTCATCAACCTGTCCTGATGCACAAACCTCCTTCCCTGCTTGAAAGCAACAACAAATAATGATTTTATGCCTTTTGTCCCTAGTTATCCGTGAAGCTGCCATAGCACAGCAAACCTGGACCCTGTGCTCAGCTGCACACTACTGTGGCAAGCATTGCAAACAGCTGGCACGTTATGCTGTGGTTTTTCCAGAGCCTAGCTAGGAGCAGCCTGTCTGAGGAAGAATGTTTTGTGTGCATGGCCTCCTCACAATTGGCATATACTGGTGGCAGTCAGGCATGTTGACACAGTGGGACTCCAATTCTGATCCTGGGAAACAAGCACAGACTGGTGGGGCCACATAGTTATGCAGCTATGGGACGATTACTCTTGGCTGCAAAACTTTTGCATGCATAAGGCCACTTCATGGAACTTTGTGAATTGCTTTCCCACACCCTGAAGAGCAGCAATACCAAAATGAGGCTTGTTCTGACAGCTGAGAAGCAAGTGGCAATAGCCCTGTGGAATCTTGCAAAACCAGACTGCTACAGTTGGGAATCAATTTGAAGTGGGTAAATCTACATTGGGGGCTGCTGTGATCCAAGGAGCCAGGGCAATAATACTCTTCTGCAGGGAAGGATAGTGGTAGATCAGAAGGGCCATTTCACCAGCATCAATGTGGGATGGTCAGGAAAGGTGCATGATGTGCACGTCTTCAGGAACTCTGGTCTTTTCATGAAGCTGCAAGATGGAACTTTCTTCCCACCAGAAAATTACAATTGAAGACATTGAAATACTAAGCATTATTCTTGGAGACCCCGCCTACTCCTTGTTTCCATGGCTCATGAAGGCATATACAGGTCTCCTGGACAGCAGTAAGGGCAGTTCAGCTATAGACTGAATAAGTATAGAATGGTGGTAGAATGTGCTTTTTACCACTTAAAGGACACTGGCAAAGTTTATAGACTAGGTTAGACCTCAGTGAAAGTATTTCCATTGTTGTTGCTGTTGCTTGTTTTGTGCTACATATTATATGTGAAAGTAAGGGGTGGGGAGTTTCTGGTGTGATAGGGGATCTAGACAGATCTCCTGGTGACCAATTGCTTGCAGTCAGACACCAGGGCAAAAATGAGAGCACATTAAGGTGCATTGCACGCAAGAGAGGCTTTGAAAACTGGCTTCGTGAATGACCAGACAGTGATGTGATAGTTGTGTGTTACTTGTTATCAAGCTGCCTCCTATTGTACAGGTGAACCAACCCGCCCCTCCAAACGCAGTTGTCACAATGAATAAAGACCTTGTTGTTCTGAAATCATGTATTTTTATTTAGGAAACAGAAAACGCAAACATAACTAAGTAGAAAAGGAGTTGTGGGCATAGCTAGGGTCTGATGATGGTGTGGAGGAGCACAAGGACACACGACTTACTACACTCAACCTGTGTAGCAATCAGAGCTGACAGAAATGACAGCCTTCTGCTCCAGGTCCCATCCCTGTGAGTTAAATTAAAGGCTTCCCAGACCCCGCCTCCTCTCTTTGCATTCTAGGATGGCTTGGAGAGGTGGCTGTGGAACTTGGTGAAGAGGGCAGGTGGCTTATCAATGGGTGGAGTGGGGCTCTGAGCTCCAGGTACTTTTCCTGCACCTGTCAGGCACTTCATCAACTCTGTTTGCTCCCCAATGAGCCTCAACATCTTGTCCTGTGTCTTATGCTCCTGTTCCTTGCATGCTTTCCTGTCCTGTTTGGGGTGGATGATCTCTAACAGCGTTCGCCTCCAGCCATTCAGTTGAGCCCTATTGTGTAGGCGGATTGCATGAGCTTGAGCCATTTCATCACATGTATTTTTTTTACTTCAAATTTGTGAAAGCCTAACTGCTGGAGGAGCAGGGACAGGTAACATACTCATGGTTCCTGCTGCACTGGGGGGGAAGACCAAGGGTAGATTTTAGAGAAGATACACTGTAAAAAACAGAAGGTTAATTCTTTTACAGTGAATGAAGCACTCTATAGCATGAAGCCCATGCATTATGCACAAAGCCGAATTTTGCATTTTAAACGGAACATCTGCCAGTAAGATATAACACACAGTAAAAAATTGGGCAGCTGAATTCAGTTTGCAGGCAGGCATGGTAAACAAAACGTCATGTGTGCTCTTTTGCTTTTGCTTTGAAAACATGGGAAAAAGTGTTTGCAAACTCCAGCCCTTGCTGTTGTTCATGTTTGCAAAGGAGGTGTTTGCGTTTAGAGGGGCACCTCCCACTACACACAGTATTC